GGTTAGTTCACCCAAAAATTAAAATTAGCCCATAAATTACTCACTCTCAAGTCATCCTAGGTGTATATGAATTTCTTCTTTCAGACGAATCCAGTCGGAGTTATATTAAAAATTGTCTTTGATCTTTCGAGCTCTATCATTGCAGTCAGCGGGTGTTGCATTGCTTCAGTCCAAAAGAAATTAAATAAAAAGCGCCCATCCGTAAAAAAAAGTGTCTCACACGGCTCCGGGGGGTGAACAAAGTCCTCCTGTAGCGAATCGATGCGAACGTAATAATCACTTCAATCTAGCTTGCCCCAACTGTTGTACAAGGAAGCAGCTCCGGGCGGATGACGTTCCGCATTCGTCACTTCTGAGCGGCGCATGCGCAACACCGACGTCTTACGTCACCCGCCCGGAGCTGCTTCCGTGTACAACAGCGAGCGCAAGCTAGATTAAATTGATTATTACATTTTAAATATGGTTTTTTTTTTACAAAAACGCATCAATTCGCTACAGGACTTTGTTCACCCCCTGGAGCTGTGTGAGACACTTTTTTTATGGATGGGTGCTTTTTATTTCACTTCTTTTGGACTGAAGCATTGCAACACCCGCTGACTGGCATTAAACAGCTTGGAAGATCCAAGACAATTTTTAATATAACTCCGACTGGATTCGTCTGAAAGAAGAAAGTCATATACACCTAGGATGCCTCGGGAGTGAGTAAAACAGCATAATTTTCATTTTTGGCTGAACTAACCCTTTAATTCAAAGGGAAAACAAGTTTTATATCCAATTGACAGATTTTTGTTCTTGTTATAAGCATATACTCATTTCATGTTGTTACATGTTTCAATTAGCCTCTCAAGTAAATGTATCTTCATTTTAGGAAGTTTAGGTTTTTGTATTAATTAAAATACAGAGGATGAAATTCATGTTTTGCCATGTGATGTAACATTTAAAGGTCCACTGAAGTGCTTTGAAACACTCAGCGTTGTTCTGTGTTGACATCTTTTCAACTGAAACGGGAAGTCAGGGCGGGACATATCAAGCAGTCCTGCCCCCTTTTTAAAATAGCCAACAGCGTTTTGTTTATATCACAGTTATAGTTTGGACCAGAGCCGTTGAGCACGGTAAAGACGCATTTGACAGCCACAATCTCATATTGCTATAAAATATAGCATTCTGTGTAGGATTCAAATGGGTCCGTTAAGTTTTATGGTCTGCGCCGACTCGTGCATATGATTCGATCCGTGTATCGTGTCTCTGGTCCAGAGCAGACTGCATGCACGGTGTGGCGGTTAACGTGACACAGCGCGAAACCAGACTTCATTCACCCCAACGGAAAGCATATTTACACTGTCTATTTACACTGTCTGAATCGTTCCCTATCCCCTATACAGTGCACTGCATGCCATTCACCGGATTGCCGTTTGCGCATTAGTTCCGCCCACTACCGGAGAAAGCGGTAGTTCTTAAAGGCTGAAGAATTCCAAAGGAACTTTAATTTGACAGCAAAATACAACAAAGTTTACATGTAGTGCGCATAGGTAGCGCGTCAATTTTCTCTCTCCCTCTCTCGCCGCGTGTGTGTGAAACAAAGCGACGGAGCGTGCGCCTTCACACTAGAGTTTACGGTTGGACCGGAGCAGACTGTGTGCACAGTGTGGCGTTTTACAGCGTGAAACCAGACTTCATTCACCTCAACGGAAAGCATATTTACACTGTCTGAATCGTTCCCTATCCCTTATATAGTGCACTACGTGCCATTCACCGAACAGAAAATACAAATCCTGTGAACAAGTGACCGATTTGAGCCGCAGCTTCAGCGTCTATTTATAGTGCAGGGGGCGGGATGCTTCGGGTTCTAGAGACAGCCCTCTATGAACACCTTGGCAATTGAATCGCCACAGAGTTTGATAAAATACTGCAAATTTGTGCTGCTCTTGTAAATCTAAGAGGGGAGCTTATCTCAAGCACATAGATAAACATGTATCATCACTTAAACTGCATGTGCTTATAGTTTAATGTCATTAACAAGATACATGTTATTAATACATGTTGTTTTTGTACACTATGTAGACAGTAAAAATATTTACAGGATTCTTTCATGTATTTCATTCTCATGTTGCTTAAAAAATAAACTGATGAAACTTATTTACATTGTATTGGTATGTTTTGTATACTGTGTACCACATTCCTCACCCTCTACTTGTTTAAAAGCTGCAGGTATTTCTTGCACAGATTTATCTTCTTATCAGCAAAATCATCAACTAATGCTGGCAGCATGTGCAAAAAGTAAAATTTCTGTAGCTGTTGCACATGAGCTTCTGCATAATTTTTGTAAAATGGAATGTCCATTTCTAGGTGCTCAGTTGTGACCTTCCACATTACTGCAGCTGCGTGACAACATGAGCGCCCTGGACCTGCGATACATGAGCACCCTGCCGTCTGTATGACACCTGACGTAGACACTAAAACCCAAGCTTTATGGTGTGACACATTCAGGCTTTGACTCGGCTCTACATCAGCTTTTAAGTACACGAAATCATTGCCCACATCTTTGAATAGCACACGACCTACTTTATTACTGTGAAGGTATTGGTAAGCCTCTGAGCTTTTCAAATTGCTCATTGCCTTACCGTCACAAGCAATTGAATCAACAAAGTAGTTAAAAATGCTACTGTACGTTATGCGCGGCCACTTTTTTAAATCGTCCTCCCATTCCTCTATTAAGGAAGGGACGGGTATGTTGATGTTGTCCTTTATAAGTTCTGTCAGCGTGTGATTCCACATCTTGCTATGAATGAGTAGCGACACTGTGACTGCAGCGAATGATTGTTTACATCGTAACGGAAGTTCCACCCATAATTCGCACAAAGCATCATGGGGCATAGGAAAAAGGTGGATACTTAGCCTCCAACTCACACTGGCGAGTAAAATTTGAGAATTTATTAGCAATTGGCTAATATTAGACATCATTTAGTCGCCCAGAGTGAAGATTTAGTCGCATATGCGAGTGATTTACTCGCAATGTAGAGGGTTGAGAGAGCATTTGATTGGACAGAAAGTTTGATGAAACGCTGAAGTGCAGTGTGATGTCATCAGAATCACTGATCCATATAGGCGGAAGTGAGAGACTGTAAGTTTTGAATGCCTATATCTTGTAAAATCGAATTTTGTCATTATTTTGGAGCACACTAGCTTATAGATAATCTTAAGCCTAACATATTCATACCAAAAACCAAAAAAAAATTCAATTTTGATTTCATGGGGACTTTAAAGCCATGATTTTATTAATTTAGGACTTTCTGCTCTTCTTTAAGACCTTTTTAGGAACAGCGAATCAAAGGGGCTATTATGCCTTTTCACTTTTTCAACTTTAGTAAGTCTGTAATGTTGCTGTTTGAGAATAAAAATGATTATAAAGAATATCTCTTTGGATTTGAGACTTTAGTCTTTGCAACTTTACAGATCTTCTTTATGCACCAAGAGCTTGTAACACCCCAAAGAGAAAGGATTAATTGAAATCGCATCATATGACCCCTATTTCAGAAGGCAGGCCTTCATTTGATACAGGAACTATTCGAGCTGTTCATGCTAGACTGGGGAGAGAGGTGTTGTAATAATATAAAATATGTGAACAATAATGTTTTTCGAACAACCTAGTATGAGAGCATGTTCTAGTACACCCCCAAAACAAAATCAAGACTTTGTAAAAGAGCATAATAGGACCCCTTTAAGACTTTTTAAGACCCGCAGAAACCGTTTTACTTATTTTGTTCCAATTGGTTCCCATTGTGACAACTTACTCCATAGAGTTTAACACATGTCCTGTTTGGGATCCCAAGATAAACTGATGTTAAATGAACTCTGAATTTCAAAAATGTCCCCAAACACATCCTAAGGAATCTTCTATCCCCAGTAGAAACAAAATAATCCAGCAAAATCAACATCACAAAACCAGCTTTGCTAAAATTATAGAGGAGATTGTGATATTAATGATTATTGATCAAGTCATTTAGAAAAGCCTATTATGCACGGTCAGTTAAAGTCTCTGTTGTCAGTTGCCCCTGTATTAATATTCTGTCAGCTTTGCTTTCTCACCAGCATCACAACTCAGAGGATTATGCCTATTAAAATGTATTCATACTAGAAACATGACCTAGTCATTCCTTCCTGCAGATTCCTAAAAATTAATTACAACTTCTAAAAATTTTGCCAGGCTTAAAGAACAAGTCGAGATTGTTAAAATCAGCCTATAATTAAGCACAGACTCTTCAGTCTGGCTCTTTCTATTAATTTTGCTGCAGTGCCTTATAGAACATTCATTATAATTCTATGCAAGTAAATTTGAATCTAATTATGGCCAAACCTCTTTTACAGCAGCCTCCATAAGTTTATGACTCCTTGATAAACAACAAAGGGAACAAACAAACCACTGCCAGATGGTGCAAAACAAGTGTAAAGAATATTTTGGCTTGATAAAAGAAAGCTTTTATCTCTTGTAATTAAAGTAATCACAAGATGGAAAACTGAAAACTTCCATCCAAGCCATTAGCATTTGACAGTCTAGAGTAAACAGACTAGTTATTCAGGACTGAATTTTCCTTCCTCTTTGAACTTAGTAAAGGGATAGTTCACCTAAAAATGAAAAATCTGTCATCATTTACTCATCCTCATGCCGTTCCGTTTTTTCTTCTATATTATGGAGTCCAAAACTTTCAAATTCCAAAAAGGACAAAGGTAATGTGAAATGACTTGACAGGCATATTGCAAGTTTATATTGTAAGTGACACGATCACTTTGTATAAGGAGGAGATTAAAATTTAAGCTTTTATTTACTCGTAAATTAAATAATTGCCAACATGCGCATACTCAGACCGATTTTGTTTGTTTAGAACTGATATTATTGTGTTTATATGTCCAATTACTGATATTCTGAAACAATTTTTCTTTTCTTTTGATTTATTTCTGCTTTTTGATAAATTTCATCTTCACATCACAACAATAAAACGTAGCCTAGTTTTCTATTTTTATAACAGCAGCAGAAGCAACATTACTAAAAAACTTGACAAATTTTTCAAATAAAGAATATAAACTCAACTCAACTTTGCATAAATGTAATAATTAATTTTAAACTAGTTTAGGAGTTGTTTCTATTGGCTAACTTGTATAAAAATAAACATTGTCATTCACATTTAGAAAAAATTATCAAATACCAAAAAAATATTGGTAAAAACTGATTATCGGTTGATCTCTAACACTGACTACAACAAATATGGCAAAACAAACCTTAAACGTCAATTAACGTCAAACCTCTGGTTCTTGCATGCTCAAGATTACATTTTTGGTCAAACGGTTCTTCTAAATGTTAAAGGGGTCGTATGAGGTTGCTAAAAAGAACATTATTTTGTGTATTTGGTGTATAGAAATATTTATGCGGTTCAAAAAACACATTATTTTCCACATACTGTACATTATTGTTTCTCCTCTATGCCCCGCCTTTCTGAAACGCGTTGATTTTTACAAAGCTCATCGGTCTGAAAAGTGAGGTGTGCTCTGATTGGCCAGCTATCCAGTGCGTTGTGATTGACCGAATACCTCAAGCGTGTGACGGAAATGTTACGCCCCTTACCATACTGTGATGCCTTGTCCCGGCCGGAGCGAAGAGACAAAAACATTAAAACCCATTATAAACGAGGCATTTGTTGCATCCAGTGGGGACATAATTGATTATAATGATTTATACTGTCTTTTTACGCATCCAAAGAGAAAGGAAAAATTTAAATTGCATCATATGACCCCTTTAAAAAACTGAGCTCTCACATCATCTACAAAGGGCAACTTCATCTTCCTTTATGACAGTCTGTCCACTGCTCTGTCCTCCACACTCTGCATATTACAGTATCAGCTAACCTACTTTTACGCTGACATTTAAATCACGTAAAAGCACTTAATTAGTTATAACATTTTTGTACACCTATAATTCACTCAGTCACTTTCAATGCTGCCATGTAAATGAATAGCCGTCATTAAACTCCGGTCAGTAACGGTCTGAATATGACTATTGATAATATTACTAGAGTAAAAGGTGTGTGAAAACATTCACTGTGTTGACACAAGGACGTGACCTCCGGTAATGAAGGCGTGCATGTTGACATGGTCTGAATGAACAAAACTTTACAGCACCTATTAAAGTTCTTTGGAAATGAATGGATAAAATATACCATCCATGCCTTGAGATCTTCATTACAACCACAGTCATCATTCTGTCCTCGTAGATATTCACACTGCATTTGTTTAAAACAATTCAGGCACTGGAGTGGAGTTCCTCTGTGTTGGCCCTGAGGATACTAATGAAAAAATCTTTGACTAAGTCAAAAAAACAGACTGTGAAAGCAGTTTAATAATTTCTCTGAAATGTAGTGACAGAAATTTGCTGACTTGAAAGGCCACACAAGACAAATAATACATGAGGAAAACTGGCCCAAGGCCACATCGGACTCCCAGTATTTGTGAAGTGCAGCTGCTTCACTTTCAAGATTTCATATGAAGCCACCAAACAAAACTCAACACACGCTGCTTAAAAATTAATACAATCCCAAACCCTGGAGCCGGCTGCATCCCAGGAGGGCCTCAGCTCTTTAAATACACCGTTTAAAACAGGTAAGAGAATTTGCTTTATCTCACTAAACAACCTGACTGCACTATTCATTAACTGGATGAATATGTGAATGATTTATTAATATGTATTAAATAAGACTATTATGAAATAGCCTATATATCTGGTGTAGAAAAACACATGCACATACACTATCGTTCAAATGTTTGGGGTTAGTAAGGTTTGTTCATGTTTTTGGCATAAAGCCTCTTATGCTCACCAAGCATTTATTTGATTAAAAATACTGTAAAAACCATAATAACGTGAAATATTATTACAAATTAAAATGACTGGTTACAATTCAAATACATTTAAAAATGTAAGTGACGAAAAAGCAGAATTTTCAACAGTCATTAACTCCAGTCTTCAGTGTCGCATGATCCTTCAGAAATCATTTGATGCTTAAGAAAGATTTCGGTATCACTTTATTTTAAGGTCCAATTCTCACTATTAACTAGTTGCTAATTAGCATGCATATTACTAGCATATTGGCTGTTTATTAGTACTTAGTAGGCACATATTTCTGCATGACCATGTTTTAGATCCCTTAACCCGACCCAATACCTAAACTGAACAACTGCCTTACGAACTATAAATAAGCAGCAAATTAGTAGTTTATTGAGGGAAAACTTTTAATAATAATGAATATGATCCCTAATCTAAAGTGTTACCAAGATTTCTTATTGTTAACAATGCTAAAAACAGTTAATATTCTGGTGAAAACTGTTTTTTTATTAATAGAATGTTCTAAAGAAATATGTATTTAAACATTTATTTGAAATAGAAATCTTTTGTAATATTATAAATGTTTTTACTGTAATTTTTGACCAATATGATGCATACTTGCTAAATAAAACTTAAAAAAAAACATACCTCAGACTTTTGAATTATAGTATATGGATGTTTTTTTTTCTTTTTCTTTATTCCAAAAATATCATCTAATTCCTCATAGGCTTCAAGTCTGTATTGAAACATTACAAAATGTTGAACTTAAAGATCCAAATTAAATCCAAACTTGGGTTCAGAGAGTGTGATTTTTTTATCCTGTAACATCTGTAACTTTATTAGTAATACTGACAACTTTAAAGTCATAAATATTCTAGTGTAGTCCTAAAAGCAAAAAAAAAAAAAACCTTTTAAAATATCGAGTCACTTCTATTTGACAAAATATTGATATCACCTCCTAGTCATAAATGTCATTGAGTGCAGTGCTCTTTACAATGTGAAGGTCCCAGAATGTCCCAAATACAACCTTCCAACAATTAGCAAACATGCTTAATATCCCAAATAAGGCATAAGACAACGGGGGGACATCTTTTTTTTTTTTTTTTTTAAATATGTCCTACCCCAATTTTCTTTTTCAATAGGAAATATGTGATTTTTTTTAAAAGGGAATATACAGCTGTATAACATACAGGAAACTCCCCTATGGAAGCCGACTAGAAAGAGTGTGATGCTCTCCATACAGAGAGAGCAGTAATCAGAGAAAACCCATAATACTGCAGGTCAAAGAGCCCTTCTGGGAGGGACATTTCCCATTTCAGCTTCCCCACTCATTTGCCTAGAAAGACCTACAACTGGGACCGGAGGCTTCACTCAGCTCACAAACAAGAGCTTATTTAAAAACATGGCCAGCAACAGCCAGAGAAATACTAGAAAAAAATCAGTGAATGCCTCTAGGGAAATTCAGTTTAGGATCACCTTTGATCTCTTCTCTCTGTGTGCGGTGACAAATATCCATGTGTGCTTGGATGGGTCTATAGCAAATAACCTCTAAAATGTCTGTCTTCTACAAACAGTCACCATGAGCTGTAGTTATCACACAACTTACTGCACGATATATAAAAACTGATGAGGCACACGGACAGTCTTAAATATATCAGAAGTATAAAAAATATAAAAAGTACTGTGGCAGTAACACGGTACTTTGATGCATACGATGGTATTTAAGTGCTTACTGAAATATTTGGCATGCCATGGTGACTTGTCCATTAAATAAATAAATAAATAAATAAATCATTACAGTTACACAGTACCATTTTCATATATTCTATTTGATATTTATGAAATTCCAAGGTGCTTCCAAGATGACCATATTATTTACAAAACTCCACATAATAGCACAAGACCATGTCCAGAAAAACAATATTTGTATAAATACCCCAGTAGAGCAGTGCTCAGCAAATTTCACTGTCCAGAACACAATCACACTTAAGTTCATAGTAAAATCACACAAAAATGACAATTTTCCCCTGCTTAAGACACTAATGCTAATGCACAGATGCCAAATCTCCCCTCTGATGTTATTGCTGTTATTTTGTTATTTGCTCAGTCATGGCTTGATAGTGAGAAGGTTTTAAGAGTCTTCTGAGAACACTCCCATATTCAGAGCTCTTCAACCCGAAGCATTTAACATTTACACATACATTTGTCACCAAGCAACACTTAATGACTTTCTGACCAATTCGCTATTATACATTTGCAATTATACATTTGCAAAGGGCAGGTCGTTAGTTACCTACTCCCTGGATCACTGACGTCCTTAAAAGCAGCGTACTGCGACATAAACCACGACATTTTTTCCTTAAAGGTATTAAAAGTAAACTAACCTGTCATAACAACGCATAAAACACAAGCATTTCAAAAATTTATTTGGAAATACTCCTTGCCAATCAAAACATCAATGCAATGCGTAAACTGCGTGTTTTCGCAGCCCTACCTGCATAGACAGCAGCAGAAGCATCACTCGGAGAGAGTAAAGGTGTGATATTGTGGATGGATGTAGCTTATAACGAAAGAATATGTGCGGCGAGGTCTAACGAAGGCTTTTCTTTATCAACCAACTGCAAGACCTGTCCTTGTCATTTTGCCTTGTTCTCAGTCAGTTTCCACGCGAGTGTTTTGTTCTCCCACCTGCACACAGCATCCGACGTCGCGCAGTGAGTCTGCATCTAGGGCATGTATTTGGCAGGAAAGCAGGTTGGTAATGCCTACAGCGCAAGCGTATTCCGAGGGCGCCATTCAACAGCAGAGCACTATTTTGCAAAAACGCCGAACCGCTGTGGACCACAGAGATAGAAGGGAGTGCGTTTACAATCGCGGCGATATATAGAGAGAGAGAGGGGGAGAGAGGGGGGGGAGAGATAGAGAGAGAGAGAGACTACAGTGAGTCATCAGTTGTGGCACTTCAACATCCGTAACGGAGATTACGTGAAATCTGTGTCCAGCAGCTTTAAAGTGAGGCTGATTCATTTTCACACTCCTCCTACATAAACACACTCTTAATTAATGGTGTGCCTTTCGTAAACCGGTGTTTTGAATCTCTTAATTTAATTCACTAGCTATGTTTTTTACATGCAAT